GAACCTCCACCGTCTGTGCTACCGAAGAGAAAAAGAACCGATTCGCTTCTAAATCATGCCATCGTTACCCGCATTCACAAACGAATGCGTGACGGGAAGATTTTAATTGTCGAGGAGTTGAGTCAACGTGGTGGAGCGCAGTTTTTTCAACGGTTTGTTCGATGCCGGTTTGTCTGTCAGCGTTGGATCGTGGAGAAGGAGGGGTGAGGTTATCAGTTGTGGGTGACGTCGTTGTGCACTGCGCGCTTTGGAATTCTTGGAGCCATCGACGACGAATGAGAGAGGTTCGATGCTTTCTAGAATCCTCGCTTTCGTTACGCCTGCACCTAATTTTTGAATTATTTTTATAAATTAAATGACGTAATAAATGGAGCAAAGTAGTCGTCTTCTTTTTTTTCCTGGTAAATAAATTGGGCAGAAAAGTCTACCACCGTGGGCGCTCTCATTTATGTTGTCTCCTTTTTTTTGGAAATTTTTTTGGGACCCGGCATGTCTGCCCTTTGATTTCTCGTATATTCTCATTCATTCTTATTTTGTACGATTACGATTAAACTACGTTAATATTTTATATTAATTTTTTTTATAGAGATAATAAAATAAAAAACAATAGTAATATAAAATATTAACGTAACTTAACCTTGATCGTACAAATAGAAAGGGATGAGAGTGTACGAGAAATGGGAGGGCAGAGAAGTCAAGTCCATTTTTTTGTGACATCCCTTTCCAAAAATATTTAAATCAATTCCTAACATTGGCTTTTTTCAAATTTCTAGTATTTTACTCAGTGCATCAGCTGGTAGCCTCTTCCAGGCAAAAAAAAAAAAAACAATTGCAAATTGGTATTATTTTCCTCAATTATCTCTGTCACAAGTCCGTGATGCCTTTATTTTCTTCATCGGTCAGCCTAATCATCTCAATCATCTTTGCACCATGTACTAATCTCCTCCTTAACTTATGCTTGTTTCATTACAAATACATGATTTTGCTCTTAAGAGACGGGTTAAAAAAGTATCATTGGTTACGTTCTAAAAAAAAAAGAGTTTTGGAATACTGAATGTGTTCTACTTATAACATTTTATCTCATATTCACTCATTCACTTAAGTTGATTTCAAGAGCTTATGTGTACCATGATCGTGACCAGACGAACACTTATGTGTTTGTATTTTTGGCAAGCGCATTTGTTCCATCGACCAAATCATTTCTTTCTCTTCCATTATAAAAAACTTGGAACAAATAAAAATCTACAAGTAGGTTGAAATACATGGTGAGTTAAAAGAATCTAGGTAAGTTGGAATTGTCATGATTTAGTAAGTACTCCAACTGTGACACCCATTGAAGTTAATCTAATTATATGTAATTACTTTTCATTTGCCAAGACTATATATGTCATTACGAAATCCAATCAATGATTTGATCTCTTATCAAGTCACCGCTACACAGCAAGACCACAATACTCATTTAAGCGGAGAAAAACTCGCTAAAGCGAAACAATTAACAGTAATCCGAATTAATTCTAAATTCATTGGAGCATCATAGGAATAGAGAAAAAAAGTTATTTTTTCAAAAAGTAATCCACGATTATTCTTGCTCCTATATAATTCTCATGTATATGAATACGAATCTATTTTACTTTTTCTTCATAATCAATCTTCTCATTTACAATTAACCTCTTCATGCTAAGGGGACTCTCCAAAAAATGGAACTCTTTATAGATTCTCTGACAACTCATGTTTTCGACACAATATTTTATGAAAATTGACATTAAACTATAAACGGCAAAAAGTCAATGAAGAAACCAACTTTGAAGAAGTCTCCGTAACGCTTCTCTCAAAAAAAAACATGAATATTAATTTGAGCCCCAGGACAAGAGCTAACTGACAGTTCATGACTAAGAGGATAAGCGGAAAGACTCCAGCTTACTACCTTTCTCCAAAGCAAATTTTCCAACTTAAACACAAAGACAATCGGACGGTCGTCCTCCATGGACAATGGACGAATCAACGGCTCACAGCCTCACAGTGTGTCCCAAAAATCAAAAGCCAAATTTGACTACGGAAGCTGAGAAAACAGGGATTTGCCATACCAGATTGAAAAGTCAATGAAGCGTTTTCAAAATAAGACCCCACCAAGGTGGAAACGACATCGTAAATTACATGCAATGCAAGATAAGGTGCAGGTCAGTGTCATTTGGTGTCGTTTACTTGGTCGAAAATGACGTCTTATGTGGTGTAATCACTCTATTTCCATCCTTTCAGCATCGAAGTTTTGGATTCTAATAAATGTTGATACAGTGGACGGTGCGTGCTTATTTTTGGTTTTCCCTTTGTTTCCGTATTTATTTAGACAGTTTTGACGAAAAATTCATGGTACTGTTTATTTTAACAAAAAATCATATTTTTACACTAAAAAATTAATCATGATACTATTCACTTTACCCTTTATTTTGTTCTTATCATTAAAACTCAAAATTTTCAAACCATTTTCATTAGTTTTTCTATTTATTTAATTATTTTTTGCGGTTACAATTCGTGTTTTGGAGCAATAACGAAAAATATTTCAGCATTTTTTTGCAAAAAGAGTGACCAAAAGAAGAAGTGAAATTTCAATCCAACCTTAGAAGTTAATTATTTGCATAAACACAATCAAATTACGAGGTGGTTTAGGGTTGCTCAATTTTTTTTAAAAACAGTTTTTTTTTTAAAGTTGGGGTCTTAATTTTGTTTGGTAAATAATTTTTTTTTTTTTTAACTCACGGTCCAAAATAGCAGAAAGCATAACCATCTGTACATATGCTTCTAAAAAAAAACATTTCTTTTCATTGGAGGTGTGAACAATACCAACTCATGAAACTTTTATATTTACAATCTTAACCCCAATTTTTCTTTGCTAAAAACACTTTTAGCACTATAGTTTACCAAACACTTACCCTGTTTTTTTTTTTTTTTCTTTTTCATAGTTGTTTATTTTAAAAGCACAACAGAAGCGGTTTCTAAAAAAAAAACACAACAATCTCAAACTAGCCCTACCAATAACATATGATCCAATATTCTAGTGCATAGTATGTTGGGTTTTCACTCATGCGTCCCAAGTTCGAAATTCTCCCCTAAATTACTATAATTGTTGTGAACCCTCCCCTTAATAATAACTAGCCTTAATGCACACGCATGCATAAGACATTTTTGAATCACGGCGTGCTACTCGCGGTTTACACGTTTTAAATATATTTATAAACGTAAATTGATAAAAAGAAAGTCAAATATTTGAAGTCAATGAATAATCTTAGATCATGCTAGAAGAAACCCTTCATAAACCAATTAAAGCAGTTGAATCCATATAATAATTGGTCTCTATTGAATTTCTATTAAGAATAGAGAAAATAATATTTAATAAACAACTGATTGAATTACATTATTACTAGCCTATTGTGAGGTTAAACCCACCCCCTCCCCCTTGGTGTAGATAATATCGTTTGTTCAAAAAAAAAAAAAGACACAATCATTTGACAACTAATTTAATCACATTATTATTCCTATGCGAAAGACCTTTTTTATAATCGGCAATACACGCCTCTTAAGATGTTTGAATGTGTTTGAAAATAGATAAAATAATATTTAATAAACCACTAATTGAATCACATTATTATTAGTTTATTGTGAGGTACTAATTATTAAAAAAAAATGTACAAAAAAATTTTATTATTAAAAAAACACTATTAAAATGATGAAAATACCCCTGCCACATTTAATGCATTATTTTGGATTGTTTTTGAAGTTTTTTTGTTTGAGGGGCATTTTTCTCCAATTATTTTTTATGAAGGTTGTGACACCAAAAAACACTGTTCATTGGACCCTTGACTTTATATATAAAGATAATTTCAAAACAAAAAAAAAAAAAAAAAAAAAAACCAGTAAGAATAAACTTATGCAGAAAATCAGCTTAAAAGTAAAGGTAAGTTCACTTGTTCTTCTTTTTCAGAAAGTGGAATGCATTAGCTTTCTTCCAAAATCTCAATTGTTGGTTTTCCTTTTTCTTTTTCATTAAGTATGGAATATGTTTTCAAGGGAAAGTTGGACGGACAACGCACAATTATCATGTTACTAGTGGGAAAGGTGTCACAGTTATTTATGCAAAGTTTTTTTCTGTTTGGACTTTTCTATTTTTGGAAAAAAGAAAAAATAAAAACGTGGAGAAATGATCAGAGCTATAAAATGAAGAGTGAAGAGTGTAAACTTAATGTCCATTTAACCTCTTAATATTATGATTTGATGATATTTCTTTTTATTTGTAAATGATATTTTTATTCTGTTTGAATCTCGTAAATTACGGGATTCGAAGCATAAATTGATTATCGGATTGGAACCACAAATTTATATCCTATTGATTACGTTTGTTTCGGATCAAGATCCGATTCATTGACAAGTCTAGCTGCCGGACCCAAGGTTTTGTTGTTGAGATCCAACCCAAATTAATGACCAAAGAGGCCCATTTACATGAACTATTGCAAAGAAGAAAAAGTTTGGAGCCAGTTTTAGGTTGAGGTAACGATTCGAAGACTATCTTCTAGAATTTCAGTGAAAGCCAACAGAAAAAGCCTGTGCCAGTAATACAATGCAGTGCTAGCTTTGCCAGCTGTGGGAGTCGATTTTTGTTGGGAAGTTAGAGAACCAACCGAAAATCAACCAAACGTTTAGTTTAGTGATATTTCTCTTTCCAATATTTAAAAACGTCCGAAATTCAAATTCCTCGTTTCCCATTGAACAGAATGGAGAAAGAAAACTATTGTCTTTGAAGATATAAAGACTGAGGCCTAGCAGACGAAAGACACTTACATGCAACCAAGATGCTAGTCTGACGATATTCAAGCCTATCACACTACTCGATGTGGTTTAATTTACCTGCATAGTATTACTTAATTGTTTTGAGATACTGCCACCTTGGTCCTTGACGTCCTAGTCAGCATATACATTCTTACATAAGTCATTAATACAACACAAATGGATTCACCCAAAAAAATTATGTGACTGAGTAGAAAAACAAAGGCTTTTCTAATGTCAAATGCTATAAGCCAAAAGCTACGGTTTACAACATGTACTTACAAAAAGCACAGTTTAGCAAAAAATTAACCTAGACCAATTCGAGCAGGAAGGCAAACGCCGGGAGCTTGTTCGTCGACAGAAAGGGTTCCAGCAGCAGCCAATTTTATTACAGAACGAGCAGTGAGATGGAACTTCTGGCGTGCTTCGGCAAAGCTTATGCTGAGAACTTGTTCGACCCACTCCTCTATGGCTTTCTTCTTGTCCGATAACCAGCCAGCTGCAAGTATCTGCACCATGACTCCGAAATCAATCTCCAGCTGAACCTCATATCCGAAGATTTTCTTCAATTCACGATTGATTTCCTTCACTATTTTCTCAGCAAGTGCTTCAAAATCAAATGGTTTCAAAACCACTTTTTCGTCCACTTGACCAAGGAAATCTTCCAGCCAAGCTTTAGAGTTTTCGGAGATGGAGTCGCTGTCACAATCTTCAGAATCTATGTTCTTGTCTGGCTCCGCTACTGGCAGATTCAAATCGAGAAAGTTCCTTAATTGCTTGTTGGACCGTTTCTGTAGTTCAGAGGATTGCTCTAAGGAGGCATTGGTGTCAATCAGCTTTCTTTTATTTGTAGAAGAAGATGTGTTCGAGGTTCCATCTCTTGGTGCAATCCTCACATTCATGCCCTTGCTTTGGTTGGCATCCCCAAGATTCCGAATTTGCATTTGACATTTCTTGGCGGCAAGTATGACCTCCTCAGAGAATTTATGGGGTTCATTCTCTCCAGAGCGGCTTTTGCTGCTGCTTTTGATAGTGGAGGTAGTCACGAAGATTATGTCGTTAATGCTGATTTCTCTCCCATGCGAATCTGGAAACTTTCCGGTCCTAATGGCCTGGGACAAACTACCCTGGGCAAGAAAGTCCGCCTTATCGACATTTTCAAGGAAAACCACTGAATGAGGTCTCCTGCTTAACTCCCCTGCAACATAGTCAACAACTGTCTTACCCCTAAACTTCACATTGTAATCATCGACACCTTCGGATTGAAAAACAGAGTTTGATTGGTAACCCCTATCTTGGGAACACAGATCAACAGAAATTAAGCTTTCTCTGGAGCCAAAAAGTATCTCAGCAAGTGCTAAAGCAATTTTCTTCTTTCCTACTTTGTCAGGTCCAACCAAAGTCAGCCATATATCTCCTCTGAGTTTCGAACACTGATTCCTTCCACCACCAGACTTGCAACGTGCCACAGCTTGACTGATACCGCAAATGGCTTCATTTTGCCAGCCAACCTTTTCTGTGAGAACTCTCCTAAGTGATTTGATATCGCTTGGATCAACCTGCCCTCCAAGATCAGACGCAGAGCAGGAAGAGGACTGGGCAATATGGCGTGAACTATTTTCACTCAATGCATCAAATTCAGCAGAAATGGAACCAGAGAGGTGTCTGGAACTCTCTCTGATATCTTGTAATTTAGGACTTCTTGGCCCTTGACTGGTTGATCCATACAATGTTCCCAATCCCAAATCAGTTGCTACAGAAGTAACTGACGAAGATGATGTGTGGTCGGTGGAAAGATTCATATTGTGGATGGGGTAAGTAGTCCGGCAGGGGCTTCTCATTTCAACTTGCTGACCCTTCGAAACTTTAACCAATAGCTCTGACCGGAGGCTAGCATTCTCAGCAGCATCAGAAACTACTTGTGTAGGCAAGTTCTGTTTTGATAGAAGACTCGTTTGCATGTCCATCGGCTGGCAGCGATAATGAATAGCACATCCGCTTTCATTTAGAGATGAATCTTCACCGCTGTTTTCTTTTCTATCCCAGACAGCTAGGGAGCCCTCAGCAGATGCAACTTGAGGCCCTGCTTGATAAACGTCCACTTTAGGGAATGGTTGAGAGTGATGATTTTGTCGGCAGATATCATCCCATTTTTTCTGCAGTGCAGATACTGTAGCATTCATTGTTGTTTTATCGTCTTTGGTCTGCACTGAATAATGAAGCACACTTACACATATTCTCAAGGAAATAAACGTAACAAATTAAAATCCAACCAGTTACAGGAAACATGCTCGTTAAACTACATGTGTTTGTGCGCGAAGGCATGCTTATGTTTGCACAAGAGTTATTCCAACTCGATACAAAATTATACTCTAAACGGGTTACACACCTTTGCTAGATCGTCTCCCTTGCCAGTGTCAAGTTCACGCGTTTGCAACCAAGAAGGCAAGCTATCTGACCACTGATCAGCTGCTGAAATAGTTGATCCTATTTTCAGAACAGAAGCAGCTTCTTGCTCATACTTCCCTGTGCACCGATGACAACGTTTAAAAGATTGATATGTGCTGCTCAATGGACTTTTGAAGTCGGACGGTGCAGGAAAGAATCCGCCAAATGGAACGAAGGACCCCATCAAACTGTAAGTATATCATGAGCACGGAACTGTGAGATCCAACAAGCACAAAACAGTCAGACACTTAAGTGTTTTACCTGAAACGTACTCTCTATGCATTCACACAACTTATACCAGCGCTATCGACTTAAACATTATAACATGTACATCGAGACATGAATGCATATATGGATTAAATGCGCTCACTCTGAAGTTAGCAAATTATGCAGCTTACTGTATTCAAAAAGAAAATTATAAAGCCTAAACCAGAGTAATGAAATCAAACGATACTCGTCTTTTGGGAACAAAACGTCATATGTTTCGGGTATCAAACCCGAAACCACAATCAAATTATGACTTCAAGCAACTTCAGACACACATCAAGCATGAATCCACAAAAGAGAATATTGAGCATTTGCCCCAACAAGTTGAAAAGGAGCATAAAACAAATTCAGGGTTAGATTACCACCTCGATTTCGAGTAAACTCCTTCCATTGAAGCTTTAGAAGAAGTAATGGGAAGAAGATGAAGATCCCAATCCTTCTCAATCGTCGAAAACCGAAGCAAAAGCTTCGTAAACACTTCATGGCTCGCCGCCGCGGCAATCAACCGCAATTTTCCAACATGAACCTCCAACAAGCTCTTCAGCTGCAGCACCACAAAGATCAGAGCTTCCTCCGCCCCCACACCCTCACCCACTAAACCCTTCAAATCCCCAATATTTACAATAACACCACTTCCAGCTCCTGAGCAGCGCTCCGCCATTCGACCCACCTCCTCAAACTTGCAACCCATCTCCTCCTTGCTTCCGCCATTGAGGACGAACTCAGAAACCTCCGTCTCGATGGAAACCACGCTGAAGCTAGCGACTTCAGCAGGCAAAATCCCCGCTTTACCCTTCTGCACGGCTTCGGTGAAACTCTTCAGAGCCTCGCCGGCGCAGACGCCGATTAGCAGCGGGTTTTTCCCGCTCTTTTTAACCAACAAGTCGGCGATTCTTCTCGAGTTCTCGTCTCTGTCTTCGAACCCGGAAAGCGGGAAGCTGAATCCGGGTTGGGTGGGGTCCGCGTCCGTTAAGTTGCATAGGAAAATGGGCGGGCATCGGGTCCGAGGAAACCGAGTCGATTGAGTCACCGGCGGGTGAATAATCGCGACCTTTATGTCACAGCTTCGAAACCCAGCTTCTCCGAAGACCCGACTCACAATCGGATCGTCCAAGATTGATATGACGAAGTGTTTCAGCTCGACCTTCAAAAGCGACGCCACTTGCTGCTGGCTGTGAATCTGGTGCAAGTGGAAGCCCTCCGGTTGCCGCCTCTGGTTCGCCTGGGACCGCTTGATCGCCGCCATGAGCGAGTTCGATACGGGAGGCTCGTCCTGCGCCCTCGACGACGGCAACCTGTCCAAGGAAACTCCAACAGACAGCTCGAGAGCCCGGAACTGAAGGCGTGGAGAGTACGCGCTGCTCTTGGCGCGGGCGCATGCGTCTCGGAGAGCAGAAGACGGCAAGGAAAGCAAGGCCGAGACGGCATGGAGCGACGTCGTCTGGGCGTGGCTCCGCCTACGCGCTACCGCAACCGCGTCGTCCAAAGCACGCGCCGCCTCGTCCGTCAAACATTGCCTGGCTGCGCTCACCGGCGTGGGCATCGCCGGCTCAGCGTGTATAATAAAATATAATATATGTATATGTATCCACGGACGAAGACGCAAAAATCACCCCTTTCTATACGATGAATACGTGTCTTTGTGTGGCGATTTCGAAATAAAATATGCAAAAATACTGAGAAAGTTCGATTAAATTATGCAATCTCGGAGGAGAGTACAAAATGGAGAGAGAGAGTGAGAGAGAGAGATAGAGAGAGAGAGAGAGGAGATGGAGATTTTGGTTGTGTTGGTGGTGGTGGTGTATGCCGCGGATGCACCAACAGTTTTTGGGCAGGGGATGTGATGGGACCTTGCATTAGGCTTTAATACAAACACATGGCGAGCATGGCATAAATTCGCTTCTTTCTTCTCTCTCCTTCGGTTTTTCGTTGTTCTGAAAAAGTTTAGACACCACTTGCATGAAGTTACACTAGTGCAACTTATCTCTTTAATTGCAGAATTAAATTTTGATAGTTTTAGTCTAATGAATTAAATACGAATGCATCTCTTACGCTTAGAAAAATTATGACTCGTAACGTTCTTTCTATTTCCGTCATTATCTTTTCGTGCGGTCTTAAGCCCCCTTAATGTTTTTAGAAGTGTCATTTATTGTATAATTAAAATCGCGCTCTTATAAAACTATTTTTTTAATTATTTTAAAATTTTGTCATTTATTATTACGGTCTAGTACTATTTTTTTTTACTTATAGGTAAGATGTCTTAAATTTGATTTTTATCAAAAACGAATTTGAACCATATTATTGTTAATCGAGAAAAAATACTATGAAAATTTTCAATTTGCTGTAAAAGGTCAAAAGCGATGATTGGGAGGAAGAATCGACCCCTGTTGGTAGGAGAAGATTGACATTTGATCCTGATGCCGTGTCCACTGGCGAAGGCCAACATCATGATTTTAGCCGTCGATGTCAAGCTGTTGAGCCCCTTGAGAATTAGCCGTTCTTTATGTTTTGACAATAAATTTCCCAAATTGGTGATGTCAAGGTGAATAAGTGATAAAGGACATTTGGAGGAGCAATGTGAAATTTTATCCCTTATTTAGTCAATGGTTTTTCTTGTCGTAATGGCATTGGCCTTAAGTGGACGGTTTATTTATTAACTGATACGCGTCATTAGATAAACTTTGTAAATCAAGTCGACTCTGATACCAAATTACGTAGTTTGACTGCTATTCTAGCTTTTCAGGTTTAGCAGCATAATCAACTATCAACATTACTGATATCATTCTAACTTAAAAACTATGTACTAAGTGTTGGGTCTTCTTACAAAAGGTATTGATGATTTTAAAAGTAGAAATTTCATATATAAGTTGTATATTATTTTGTTATATTTATGATGTAGAGATTCATTCTCCACAATGAGCATGGATTGTTTCCTCAAATTTTCATACCTCATGCTTTTCTCTACAGGTGTTATAACTTAAGTTGTTGTGAAGACAAACTTCAGTACTCTGTAACGAAATTCCTAACATTATTGTCATAGCTATGTCATTCACTCTCTTATATAAAGAGAAATTCGAATAGCTTACCACTTTCTATGAACTCAAACTTATATATTTTGGGGTTAGTTGAGTCGTGATTATCTGTTAATCAACACATTAGTCTATCATATTAGCAAGTTTGCATGGCAACAAAACGCAAGTTCAATTAGGTAAAATGGGCATAAAGTTTTTGAAGGGGAAATCAACTCTGCTATTTATAAAGATATGATCAAAGTTATATCAACAAAAGAATAGCAGGGAGTGACCCAACACCAACCAAGAGTGCTGCTAGAGGCAGCCCCACTTGAACACTTGATAGAAAAAGCCCTTTGGGGGACCTTATGGGAATTTGGGTAAGATCTTTGGACCATATATGCTATGAGTTCCAAGCTCTAGCTAGCTCAGTGCCATTCTTTGGACCATATATGCTATGAGTTCCAAGCTCTAGCTAGCTCAGTGCCATTCGTCTCTCCTGAGACAAATTTTCGTTAGACTCGTTGATTAGAAGAGCGTCTTACACATGAAAAGATTACTCAAACAAAATGCAGAAATCTCATAGTTTTACGACAGATGTCCTACAATTAAATAGATTATGTCTTGTAGCCAAGATAGACTCGACCACAATTCATTGAGTGCATACAACGTGTCCAAAAACTGAAATGAAGATAATAATTTAATATTGGGATAAACACTAACTGGTCCTTAAGAATCCGATAGGTCGGTAATAACGGATAGTATGAGAATTATTGGACGACGATGACTTGGTTACAAAGCAAATAACGTGTTAACGTGATCCGAAGTTCCTACTCAAGTTTTTTTTCCTCCTATAGTCTCAGGTCTCAAATAAGAGAGGTGTTTGATTTTGACGTGTTGTTTTTGTTGTTTGTACTAGTCCTTCGTTCAACCTTTTGTTTTCCTTTTTCCTTGCTTTTTTTGTTTGTGTTGCATTCACACACAGAGATAAAAATATGAATGTCGAAAACAGTCCGAATACACTACAAACTGAAAAAATGTGTACTTTTAACACACATACGTGCATTACTTAAGTTCATTGTCCTATTCATTTTTCATCCCCATCGGAAGGAAGAGATCAATTTGAGTTCCTTCTCTTCTAGCCACCTCCTGCAACCTTTGTGATAGGCCTTTATTTTTCATGTATCATGATGACACCTGAAATCAAAGAGTCGAACTCCATATTTCTTTTAGCCATTCGTCAAGTGCTTAAGTGTATCACTTATTTTACCAAGCCACTTTTAACCTATATTTGTCCTCCTCCTGCTTCCTTTGTTTTTGGTTATCGTCTCATCCAATACTTACGCATATTTATTATGTATTTTATTAGTCCTTAAGTTTTGGAGCCACCTAAGGCACTATTTATAGGAGCTAAGGCATCTCCAACTGACCCAATCAAAGGGCTATAGGGCTAAAAATAGCTCGAAATGACATGAAAACTGTCTCCAACCGAGGACTAGGGCAAAGGGCTCGTGTGTCCCACCAGGTCAAAAATAGGAAAACTGGCCAAGAGCAGCCAGCCCCAAGCCAGCCCATTGTTCGAATGCAACGGCTAGATGACGTCATGTTAACGCCAGGTTACCGTTGCATTTGAATTTTTTTCCTATAAACACCTAAGCCATTCATGCACCATTTCTCACATAATTTTCACCATTCCATACTATCTTACCTCATTTTAAATTTAACAACATTAAACTTAAATAACACAATCCCCACCCTAGTACTACTTGGGGGAGTTATTCAAACTTCAACAACATGAAACTTAAACAATATTAAACATAACATTTAACAACATTAAACTTAAATAACACAATCCCCACCCTAGTACTACTTGGGGGAGTTATTCAAACTTCAACAACATGAAACTTAAACAATATTAAACATAACATTTAACAACATAAAACTTAAACGCCTACTCCATGGTTCTTTTGGCCCCAAGATGTGCAATAAGATCCTGTTGTAGGTACTTGTTTGTGGCACGCGAACGTATCATCCTTTGGCGCCTCGTGTACTCATTTAAAGAGATATTACTAGTTCTTGGATCCAAAGGCAAATTAGACTCATCATATATTTTTGCATGAGCCTTCATCGACCTATTTAGATTATCTTAGTCGTCATCGAACTCTCCATCAATATAGCCATCTTGCTCATCCTCCACAATCATTTTGTGTAATATGATGCACGATATCATGATGGAATTCAATTTATCTCGACTCCACCCTCTTGTCGATTCCTTAATGATCTTCCACCGTCCTTGTAGAATACCGAAAGCTCTCTCAACATCTTTCTGGTATGCCTCTTGTGTAAGGTAAACCACATTGGGGTGTCATCCACAAGGTTTGCAATTACTTGGACAAGTGTCGCCCACTTTGGGTAGATGTCATCTGCCAAGTAATACTTCATATTGTACTGATGCCTGTTGAGGTTGTAAGAGTGACCAACAACAGAGCCACCCCATTGAGGTTGTCTTTTAGTTGGTTCACACACCATGACCCCAAACATTGCTGCCATATATGTTGTGTTATGTTGTGCCATGCTTCATCTTCTTCATCGGACTTTTCATCTTCTCGTCTCATCTGCGCCCATTTATCTTCCAATTCGGAATTGGATGAGGACCCCTAGTTGGAATGCAAAGAGGATCCAAAGTTGGAATTCATTGCAAACTTGAATTGAAAGAGATACTGGAAAGGGCAAAGATGTGAATTATACCCCAATATCCAGTTATTTATTAACATTGAAAGCTGAAGATAATAAGTGCAACGTAGATAAGAATTATATCTAAAATTTGCACAACCAATTACCTCTTGACATGTGGCACTCGAAATCCTATCCGAAAAATTATTGAGATTACATCTCGACAAGAAATATGGAGAGTTACTCACTTTAGCGACACGTGTCACTCGAAATCCTATCCGAAAAATTATTGAGATTACATCTCAACAGGAAATCTGGAGAGTTACTCACGTTAGCGACACGTAACTTGAAATCCTATCCGAAAAATTATTGAGATTACATCTTGACAAGAAATCTGGAGAGTTACTCACGTTAGCGACATATGTCACTCAAAATCCTATCCGATAAATTATTGAGATTACATCTCGACAAGAAATCTGGAGAGGTCCACATGTTAACGACACGTATCACTCGAAATCCTATCAAAAAAATCATTGAGATTATAGAACGATAAGAAATCCGGAGGCTTATTCATTTGGCGACAAGTGACACTCAAAATATGTCTGAAAACCTTATTTTAATATGGTAGTTTAATTTAAGTAACCATATTAATTCAATTAAAATAATAAATTACATTTGGCCTATGACCCCTTGGCCCCCTCGATTGGAGATGATTTTTTGTCAAAGGGCTATGTTTTGCCTATGCCCCTTTGATCCCCTTAGTTGGAGATGGTATAAAATATGGTGTGACACTGTTCATTAAAATATAATTTCTTGGAGGGCTATAGGGCTAAAGGGAGCCCTCCTGCCCTCCTTCAGTTGGGGATGGCCTAAGCTCCCTGTTTTTAGTACTTGAGGCAACATGCAATGCATGCTTAATAAGATCCATACAATAGAGAGGAAAAAAGATAGTGTTAGGGTTTTACATGTAGAGTTTGTGTTAGTATGGTTGTTTTGCCAAAGTTTGGATTATCGAAGTGAGTAGTTTATGTAATCTGTTCTAACAAAT